GCTTTTTTTCTGACCAATGTAGCATGTTGAATTAGCGTCAGAGCTGGCAGAGCCCGTCAGTGAATAAAGTCACTCAGATTGGCAGTTCAGCTCAGCTCACGAGAGGAGAAGCAGAAGTGAGGAAAGCAAACAAATGACTAAATTCAAGAGGGCGTGAGATTAAAACAAACTATATAAGGTAAGATTACGTTTTTAGCCCTCGTGTCTTTTAGCAGAAACGGTTAATAACTGTGTTTTTTTGTCATCATTCACTAGTGCACAGTAAATTTCTACAGCCCTTTTTAGACAGGAGTTGTGCAAATTTGCAGGAAAGCCCAATCAGTTTTTTTTCAGCATTGGCAGTATAAAAACAAAATCGGGGAGTGCAGCAAAATGCCGCCTACCTACCTTTGTTTATACAGAATGTGCCTTTTTCTGGGCAATGGGGGGCGTGAGCAAGTAACAAAATGTGTAGCTCAGCGTGTGACGTAAACAGTGACGTGGGAGGGAAGCCGCGGCTGGTCAGTCCTTCGGTGATTCTCTCGTAAGTCGGCCCGTTCTTCACCGTCCCCGTCATCTGACGGTTAATGGCCTCTTCGTTTGCGAGGACAAGGAGGGCGCGCAATTCCTTGTCTCCCCAGTTGCTCATCTTTACAGTGTCTGTCAGGTTTGTGTTTCCCTCTTGCTACTAGCTGCTCGCTAATTCCTGCTATCAGCTGTTTCCTGTTTATCCACCGCCAGTAGCTCGCACGTGCGGCGTCATCAACAGCTCCTCCCACAAGTCATCAACAGCTCCTCCCACAAGTCATCAACAGCTCCTCCCACAAGTCATCAACAGCCCCTCCCGTGGTGGAAGGCCGCCTCGGTCTTTTTAAACTAAAAGGGTTCCACCAATATGTCTACCCTACGAGGCGGAAAATTGGGCACCTCGGATCAACTCGCCAATCCGGCTCTGTGTGTCTAAACGCTCACAGCTTGCCAGCAAAACGGCTCAACATTAGTGTAAAATCTGGCAGTGTAAAAGGGGCTATTGTTCTTCCAACATCGGGTTGTGTGGTGAATGTGCCAACTGGCTCCCCAGCGTCTTCAATCTGTCGGTTTTCTGTTTCCCTTTTTTTGAATGACTACCATCGTCTTCTGGTATGGAGATTTGTTTTCTCTCACGCAGGTGCAGAATGTACGTGCTAGTCAGCTGTTGGCCATAGTCTTTATGGTGTGTGCAAGTGCAACTTTTTGGCTAACACACAGGAGATAGTAGGCAACGCAACAGTCAGCCTTCGTCAGCACTAGTTCTTAGATGCTGGTTTGGTGTGTCTGGGTCTGAGTGTCTGAGTTTGTTTGTTGTTACTGACATTACGATTATTTTCCAGTTAAATATTACTTTTATAGTTGTTGATATTTTCTTGACAACTGTGAAATGTCCCCCTCAGTACATATCTTAGTCATAACTCTTTATTAACCAAACTAAATTACAAAACAAATATTGGCCAATACATAATAGTCTTATTTATTTAATCTCAAATATTAAGTGTGAGTCAGGCTCTGGTCAAAACTCAAGAACAAGCACATATTATTCAAGTCTTAAATCAAATAACTTAAGTCAGTGTTTGATACCTTTTCCTTCTCTTCTCATCCAACTCAAGCTTCAAGTGGCGTTTCAAAAACACATTGTCGTCCAGCGGCTTGATGGAGAGACAAAGTCACACATGTTATTCAAATGCTTTTGGATTTAATGTGAGACAACTTTTCAAACTCCAGAGGCAGAATTATTAGTGTCTCACCTCGGGGGGGTTAAAGGAGGGGTCCTCCTCCAAAGGCTCTATGTGATTTTCCCTCCAAGACGGGACTATGAGGAAGAAAGGAGGGACAAGAAGTTATTCAGAGGTAGTGAGTTGAGGACATTTGATGGATATAGTGATTAAAGATGGGATATAGGTTACGCTTACAAACAATCAGCATATCATGTACTACATGAGGAGTCCACTCACTGGCCACCTCTTCCTCCTTTTTAGGGGAAGTCTCCCGCAGAGGAGACAGAGGAGGTTGGTTCCAGCAACAGAGGTACATCTCTGTAGTAGACATGAAGGGCAGGTCTTCAATCTGACAGCTCTGCTCCGGCTCCTCTTTGCACGGGAGCATAATGTCCCTTTCTGCCCCTGACCTCATGGGAACGCTTTTCTCTGGGGTTTCTTTACTGCGCAGCTCTCTTTGATTAGGAGAGCCGGGCTGAATCTCAGGCTTTTGGGGGCTGAGCTTGGCACTTTTGCCTCGTGATTTCTGGGCTTTTGCATCTCCAAAGCAAGATTTCCTGCACATGCAAAGAGAAGAATTAGAGTTACTACAATGTGACAAGAATTTTAAGTCTGAATAACTTATTTTCAGTGTCTTACCAGAGCAAGTTAGATTATAACATTTTAATGAACAGAGGCAGACTGTCTCCTTTTCTTCATGCATTTCATTAATGTGCTTTGATTTGATACCACAAAGCACATGAGCAGGTACAAGCCCAGTATTAAATTTACCTCTTTTGACCTTTGCCACCGCGACTAAAGGGGAGCTGAGTGGCTGCATTGGGCTGTGGACTCTCCTCTACATCCAGGTCCCACATATCTTCTTTGTCAGGGGTCCATGGCTCCAGGGGCTGGAAAAGGCGTTTGTCACGCGGTGGGTCCTTCTTTGTGAGCTGCAGGCGACGCTCCATGCGCTCAATACGTGCGAGCAACTGCAAACAAAGACAGGGACAAAGAAATGTAACTTTAACTGCTTTGAAAATCAACACATTATATAACACACCAATATATGTTTATAAAAATGTAAACATACTGTCTCCTTGTCTGCTTTGAGCTCATCTATCTCCTTGTCCTTGGACTGCAGCTGTTGTTGCTGTTGTTCAATGAGGTCCAGTTGGAGGAGGAGAATCTGCCGGAGGCAGTTGGCCTGTGTGTGAGGATTGGCAGGGGTCTTCCTGATGTTCCTCCACTTCCCCTCAGAGGAGAGTTCAATGGATGCGGTGCCAAGGACTCCGGGGACGACCCCCTTCACACTATCATCTGCACCTGTATCCTTGGGGTTATTGTTCACAGCCATCTGAGGATTATCCATATTGTCAGCAGAGAGGGGTTTACCTTTCACTGGGGTTCCCTCACCCCCCATTTGTCTGACAGGGGACAATATCCCCACAGTTTTATTGTCTCCTTTAACTACTTCTGCAGCTGTGGCCGCGAGGGAAACTTTGCTTGTCATGTAATTCTGGTCTAAGTCCTTTATGTCGCCCCTGTGTGCGTTATGAACATCTATAACAAAGTCGCAGGACTCTCTCTTGAGGCTCACGGGTCTCGTTTTGTCACAGTCGATGGTGTCAGCGTCCTGCTTGAATCCTGTATTTGGAAACAGCGTGGACCTCAAAGTCATGGCGAACACAGCGACTGTTCATCGTGCAGCGCCTCGGCGGGGCATTTCAACCACAGACACCTCCCATGAGAACTGAGCAGCCGCTGTCCTACAAGACAAAGACGAATAAAGACATATGTCGTGTTACTGTTGCCTGTTTGAATAAAGGACAAAAACGGTCTCTGAACTGGGAGTGAGATGTAACAGCTAATGTTTGGACAAACCGAAGAACTAACGCAGCAAGAGTGAGCCTGATCCCGGGCATCCTTTTCCTAAAATCGCTCACCCGGTTAGAAATTGAAGCTAAGCTACATTAGCACTGAGGTACAAACACACACTGGGACACAAACTGGTAATGTTAGGAAGACTTACTCTCACTGGTGCACGAGGGCAGACATTTCAGAGTGAGGGGTTCAAACAAGGACTCGGGAGTGGCTGTGTAGGACACTGGCAGCAGCCTTCTCCTCCATTTTGGTTCTCGCGAAATCATGAAAAACAATAACAGCTAAGCTAGCAGGCTAACGTTAGCCGGCTAGCTTAACCAACAAAATGCGCGTCCGGAGCGAAGCGATTAAAACGTCCTCGTTATGAAACACTTACTATCGGACAGACGTGTTTTTATCAACATGTATTTATTGTGTGTGAAGCTCACCTCGACTGTTATTCAGGTCCACCTGCGCGAGCCTTCATGTTCCCTCCTCGAGACTTGTTTTAAAGCGCCGACTACTGCGCATGCGTAATTTGTTGGCTGGCCATTTCTTGTGTTTCGGTGACAAGAGCGTCAGCAGGGGGCGACACAGTACACACAGTACACACAGTACACACACAGTACACAC